CATCCCATATAACGGTAATTTCGAGAAATACAAAATCTTCGATAAATCAGTAAATATTAAGCTAATTTATTCAAAATTGGTGGTTGCAACAACTATAATATGTTTATGATAAAATTTTGGAAAATGGGCGTGGCACCGCCCACTTATGATCACATATATATATATCGGTAACCATTCAACCAATTTGTACCAAACTCGGTATTATTATTGTGATTGCCACATAAAAGCAAACCTTTGAAAATTATTGAAATCGGACTAAAATTCCGGCCGCTTTTCATATAACGGTTAATTTCAGAAATGCTTGAAACTTCAATATTTCGAAATTTAAGGACGCTAATTTACTCAAAATTGATACATCCTGGCTAACCATCTAGCGGTAGCTTTCGGAAAGGTGAAAAAACATTTATTTAATATTTGCGCCGGGTATTTAATGTTCGGCTCCGCCCGAACTTAGACTTTCTTACTTGTTTTTTTTTTTAAAGAACTTAGGAATAATTGGGTGTTGTTCTCATAAAAAACTTGGGGCGCGTCGGTAGAGAATGTACATCAAACTTTTTAAAAACTCCTCACGCGGACTATGTTTTAGTCGTAACTTATATCAACTCGACAGAAAGCTTTCAAAAGGTTCTCCTGAGGGATATATTTTGGTAGTAACTGATCTAAAATACTAAAGACCCACGCATGGACCTTCCCCAAAGCATTTTAAGTTCCCCATAGTTTTCTACAGATTTTACAAATGCACAATGTAAAATATTTCTCTAGACGTCGTTGATCTAAAGCGGTGATGGGCATAGCCTTATCGGCGTATTGAGCTTCTTCAATCTTATGTTTTGTATACAGATGTACAGAGTGAAAGCTTTCTCTGCCGAACATTGATTTAAATCAATGAGAACCAGAGAGAACTTTTATTGTGTGGTGTCCAAAAAGTCCATCAAAAGCTTTAAAAATCTCCTCATGTAAGATATGTTTTTTTCGAAAATGATCTTTAGCTCTAAATATATAAGAAGCCTTTAAAAGCTCCATGAAGACTTTTGAATGCCACTCACAGCGAAAAAGCTCTCTTTGGCCATCGTTGATATAACTTTTATTCTAAAGCCCAGTTGTTCAGCTCACAAGCTCGCGTGCTAAGCTTTTTAAAGCCGATTGTATATTTTTATTCGGCTGGCCAAAAATTAAAGCTCCCTCTAGTCAGCGTTGGACCTAAGAAGTGTTGCTCATGGAATGATATGGAGCTTTTTTGAGCTTTTACTCCTACAGTGTTCTTTCTAAAGTGCAGGTTTTATCATCTAAGGTGCTTTCGAAACACTTTTATATATAAATGTAGATTGCTGCACTCTAAACATCCAAAACTGTCCAGTTAAGCAAAACCACTATACATAATCATTCATATTTACATTGCTGATAAGTATCTGTCATTACGAACTTAAACCACAAAATTGTCAAAACAAACAACTGTATCACCCGCATCGCATATGGCTCACTCAAAATCGTACATTTTACCACCCACCTCAAAGTAAGGGAACACAGCTTATGCATGCTACTACGGCCCATACAAATGTCCACACATAACTTGGACGTACATATTCCCAAATGCGTTTTCCTAAATACAATGAATGTTTGTATATAAGTTCAGTAAGTTTGCATTAAAAAAGCAGCACCCGCATACCACAAAAGCCACATTCGCACAAAAAAGTTCAAAAACAAAAGTACTTGCATAGTATTTGGCATAAAAAAATGTACAAAAACAAACGCACAAAAAAAAAATGTTGTATGTGGGCGCACACATGTGCCCATATGTCAACATACGGTTGAAAAGTAACCCCATGGCAACACTGAGAAATCGCGCACAAAAAAATGCTGGCTACTACGTGAATGTGTTTGGGTGTGAATGTTATGTGCTTTTGTATTTGTATTTTGTTTGCACCCACATTCATTGCCGCTCTACCTACCGCCCTGCTTCCCTTACTGATGAAACTTAAGCCTGTCCCGATTATTTAAATATGTGCGCGCCCATTATGGGCTTCAAATCTAAGCAAATCCCCACCTCTCCTCTCAACTATTCATGTAATTTGCGCTGCTACTACACTGCACTACAAACATTTACATATGTAAGTATGCAGCCAAGCTTCTCTTACTTGTGCTCAGCTACTGATTCTTCAGAATTTTTTTTATGCCCATGGTAACACTCATAACCCTTACAGCTATCGGCTTAAATGCTCACCTACCGCCTCGCCCCTGCTTTACTATCTACTTTACTTTTAATTTTAAACCTCTGTTTATACAACACATCATTCTACACTCGCACATACACATGTACATCCCTAGTAAGGCTTTTCATGCACGAGTTTTGCGCGAGAGTGCTCCCTATTTACGGTTACAAATTGTCAACAGGGAAAAAAAACAGTTTAGTAGTGTTCATGGCAAAAGGGGGAAACTAGCAGAAAATTTGCAATGTATTCAAGTGTTGTGGGAAGCTGCATGTAAGATGAATACAGCTCTCATTAAAACGGTTGTTTTCGATTTTTAGACACGTCAAATTTTCTTTACAAAAACGAATATGCAATCAAGTTATGGAAATGTATAGAAATAAAAAAAATATAGTGTTTCCCAAACAACCTTGAGAGATTTAGGACTCGCTTTTTGACCATTGCGTTTTCTCTTTTGATTAAAGCAAACATTTGGTCGCTTCTACACTACATGACAATCTCTTGAGAAGTTGTTCTGGATCAAAGAGTACTTGTTCGTCAAGCGATCATCCAAATTATCCCTACTCTGCCAATAGGACCACGATATTCAGTAGAGGTTAAGACTTTCAAAACTTGCTGAGTTCATGATATAAGTACTAACCTTTCACAGTTCCTTACAAATTTCACGTTGCTTTCATAGTTTTCTCAGACCAGATTATGCAGAGCGCTTTCGCATGTTCTACCAGGTTTGACACGATGTATATCTGCTGTATGGTTCGTATTATGTGTCATCAATCTTGAACCACTGCTACAGCTAAAACACTAAATTTCATGTTCGAGGTCTAGTCTGGCTTCTACACGGATAAAGCTCATAGCTGTTTTGAGTAGTGCATAATGTCTGGGTAACCCCTTTTGAATATAAGTTCTATTAGTAACTGTGACCAGAGCATGATCTCAGTTATGTATTTGATTGGCGATATATCCATTAAGGATCCATCGTGAAATTGATTTTTTTGCTGAGTTTTCCGTCTAATGTTGCCACACAAATGTGGCGATCTGCAAAAAAAATATTTGGGGTATTCGGGTTACAACACAAAAACTTCTAAGGTTACGGCCGCCTCTCGAAAAAAGTCCAGTCGAGGATCGAAGTTGGATGATAGAGGTTGAGTTGTGTCTCCGTTAATACCAACTTTAAGTGGTCGGTGAGGCCATGTTTTACGCGGCATATTTGAAAACTATGATAAATTAACCGGAATAAAGCTATTCTTATTCAGAAGAGTCCAACGAACTGATTAGTTTTTTCAATAATAGCTGTATTCGCGTATTCTTCCAGCAGGAAAACTCAAATTCAAATGAATTTTTATCTATTCTCTCTTAAGGAGAGAAATGTTTGCACAAGTACGCGAACGCAAAGCTAGCAAAAACTTGCAAGTTTTTAGTACAGCTGAGCGAAATTTCGTTCACATAACAAAGCCTAAAACGGAAAACATGAAAACAATGTAAATAAAAAGTTTGCCTAAAGTAATTTTCTAAGCAAAAGTAAGTAAATGTGTATTCACTTTCTACCGATACATTTACGGTCCTAATAAATTTGAAAATCATCAAAACACATTTAATTTTTTTTTTTCATAAGTTTCAAACATATGACCTTGACGGGCTTTTTTTCTTGCTGGAAAAATTTTTTCTAGCAGCTTCTCAATAAAATGAAATGTCAGTTTGGTGTCTCACTTTCTCCTTCTTTGCGGGATTTTTGTGTACGCGAACAGCAAAACTATCAAAAACTATCAATAGGCGAATGCACCGAATATCTGCTGATCAAGACATTGAATCCGTTTAATTTAACGAATTCGATCGTGGCACGTTTTAACAGTTATTTATTGATAGATTTCTTAACAATTGCTTTTATGGAAACTTTAAATTAATTATAATAGTAATTGCTGGTTTGGTGTTACTTCTCAAACATGGAAAATGATGATTTCATATGAAATTTTCCATAATAAAGTTGTTTTGCTAAATTATCAATACCTTAATAACATAACATAACATAGGATTCAGTACCATTTCAACGAAAAAGGTACTTTTCTCCATATAAGATACATGGCAAAATTTAAGCGTCTTGAGCGACCTCCAAATATTTTTTGATTTAAAAAAAAAATAAGGGCACATATTTTTTATATAAAACCATCCTAGGGGGTGAGAGCAAAAAAATTCCGACTTTCTTTTCTTTGGACCACCCTAACTATGCATGAATGTTGGTCCTAAAATTAATACATTGTTGAAAAAAAAAACAACAAGAATACAAGAATAACAGTGTGCAATATATTGTAAATAAAAATGAGTTGACAGAAAAAACACAAAAAATAGTTAACAAAAAAAAACCCAAAACACAGCAAGTAAAGCAGGCACATAAAAATAACATTAAAAGAAAGATAAAAAATATTAAACCAGTAGCAGTGCGCAAAACATTATGGAGCAAGAATAACAACACAAAGGAACTATTAAAGTGCAGAAGTGCAGTCGGGGAAGAAAAAAAAGCGACAGCCATGGCTTGACATAGGATGGCGGACGATTTCAGTATTTTTTTTTTTCACATTGTTCCTGTGGAGCGGCAATAAAAACAAACGGCAGCACTGCCGAAACACAACGCTACTACACTTACATATATATAGTAGATGTATGCATGCATGCATGCATGAACACAAACACTAACAATAAATACGAATATATGTAAGTGCATTATGTAGTGAACGACTGCATTACAATAGCATCAACAAACAGGAATAACTACATGCAGTGGCAACCAACCGGAGAATGCAGCAAGCAGCGAACCAACGAACGACCAGCCAACTGCAACAACCGAAATNCATTTGGCATAAAATGAACCAAAATAAATAAGATTTAGATAGAGGTGAAAAAAGGGATAAAAAGGAAATACAACTGAAGAGTGTGCGATGTTATATTGTGGTGTGTTATGCTTCATATGTTATGTTATTTATTCTCATGTTATGGTTATGTTATGTTATGCCAAGTACTAAGCTAAACTCCCCTCCACTTAACCCATTCCGACTAATGTTATTTTAGCTCATTCAACTTACATAAACTATCCTTAATTTTATTGGTTGAATTTCAACCCCTGGGCGAACACTAGTAATATTAAAACGCGAAGAAAATAAAATGGCGAAAAATGCAAGCGATTTTGTTTTGAAGCTCGAGGCGTGCGTATGTGTGTTTGTTGTATGATTTTTGTCCCCCAAAAAATGCAGCCGCCCTCACATTTACGAAACTTCTTAGCCCTTTCAGTTGGTTTTGTTCTTCGTTCAACGAAAAGCGCCCGGCATACGCGTCTTAAATGTACTCATTTTTTTTATTGCTTCCAGCTGCAATCAGCAATGCACCAGCTCCCCATTCCGTTTGGTGTGTGTAGTGTCCCCATCTTCCATCCGTTTTCACAGGGTTTGGCGAGCATTAAAATGAAATATTTATACTTAAAGCGGCAGAAGGTGGCAGTTAAAACGCTCATGCAGGTCATATGTGCACTTACAACGGCGAACTCTTTTTTTTTTGTTTTTAGACCCTGCACCCCCCTTTTGGCATTTCTACCATTTGCTCTTACTTTTTGGGTCGTTGCTATCGGCTCGGGGGAATTGTTAAAATTTTAATGTGAAGTAGGAAATACTTTTTTATTGCTTTTTGGTTAGTATGTAGTTATTTTATTGAATGTACTAACATATTTTTATGTCCTGTATTCGTTTTACTTAAGTGTTGGCATGAACGTACTGAAATTTGTACAATCTAACCGTTCCTCATTCTTTCCTCAGCCTTACGCCTTCACAGCAGCTTACTTCTTCTTTGGATCTGTAACCGTCCAAACGATTTGATCTCAGATACTTTCGGCAGTCCATTCCATATATTTTACTGTTTTCAAGTCCCTATCAATTTGTTTTAAATCTGCACGATTTACGAGAATACCTAAGCAGATTATTTGGTGTCAAAGAGCTCAGGTATTCATCTCTCAACACATCGCGGCCAAATATCTCATACCAATTCTTGCAAAGGCGGTGCAGAAGCACTAAAAGTGTTCCACCGTCTCATTCTCTTCAAGGCAGGATGGGCAAATGGAGTTTTCATGTACGCCTATCACAGTCAAGTGTTTATGCCGCGTGAAATGAACAGTCAGCGGTCCAACAAGTTGTCTGCAGTTCTGTCTGCTCAGTGAGAGCAAAAAACTAGATAGACCTTCTGAGATTGAAGGTGCAAACACCTCAGCTTGGAAGACCGCAGCATACTCCCCAAGAGAAAGGCGAAGCCTATCCCCATTAACTTATATGAATTCCCCAAATCCTGACCCAGAGTCAATTTTGGAGCCGTCAGTGAAGATTCGACAATGCGCGAGTCCGGGCTCTGTGCTGGAATTAAACCAGCATTCAGTCTCAGGGAACTCAGTATTATAGAATCTCTTCAACAAAGGTAATGGTGGCCTACTAAACTGTGACATTGAAGAGGCATGTTCTGAAAATCGTACGATTACAAATCGGTGCGATTTGCAAAGTATTAACGTACATTTGTAATCAAACTATTAAACGTAAATGGAAACTGCTAGAAATACATCATTAACGTTATATCCATCGATATATAGACACATTTTTCCTCTTTGTTATAAATCCTCCGAAAGAGATTTTGCCAATCGCACCAATTTGAAATCGTACGATTTTCACAACATGCCTGAGTTCCTTTTAGTTAAAAAAAAAATGCAAATAAAATCTGTAAACTATTTCAAATTTATCCCTGCTTAATTATGCCCAATTTCATAGTGGTAATACTTGAAGCTCAATGCAATGCATAGTTAAACCGGCTTAGCTTTCACTTTCTTATGAATTCACAAGCTGTATATTTAGCCCATTGCAAAAACAAGAAAATGGCAAGCATTCAAGCTTAAAAAATGACTGCTAAACGCTATGAACATTCTGTGTACCAGCGTTTTTTCTTTATATTTGTCTAGCTAAATACCATGCAAATTACACTATCTATAAGTAAGTAAGTAAACTAAGAGATCTTTGCCCTACATGGCAAATCATGTCAAACGCGACTAATGCAATTACCGCTAAATGAGTTTCAAAATGCAATTTAGCAAATTATTAAACACCCGCGACATGAAAGTGCAAAGAGTGACAACAAATACTTAGTACACCATATAAATAAACATAAATTTTGTGAAATGCGCTAAAGAGTGCGGTGTGGTGCAACGAATGATACGAGCAAAAGGGTAGTTAACCGGATCAAAGTGCGCTATAGGTGAAAATAATGAGCAAATAATACCAAGTAATAAAGATACATACTCGTCTCAAGTCAGAGTCAGGTCGGTCGGCATTTTCACAAAGCGTAATCTCTATGAAAGTAACACTTTTTTTTGCATCACAAACTGAAAGTGTTAGATAACAAAAAAAAAACAAAAACGAAAATAGCAGCAACTAATAGTGTTTAGTGAAACACTACGACTGCACATGCGATAGGTGCCAAAATGCAACCGTGCGTGCGAAATGCGACTTGTCGGCACGCATACGCACACATGCATACCGATAAGGTGCTACATGTGTAAAGATTTAAATTTTCTACCCTTAGAAAAGTAGCACGTGCCCGCTTGTGAGGCGCCAAAAAGGGCAAAAGTGTGAACGCATTTTCCACATTCGCACGCAATGTCTGAGTTGGCAAAAGGTGGTCGGTCGGTCGGCCGGCCAGATGGCAAAGGGCATAAATACGCACGCGAAGGCCATACATTAGATTCTAGCAAAGAGAAAAAGACAAATACCTTTACATGCACGCATTGCTGAGTCACGTGCATTTTCTAAATCATTTTCGCTATGCTAAATATGTTTGCTTGGAAATCGCTTTTTGTTTGTGGTTGGAAGCGTTTAGTCAGAGCGCAAAGCCGTTGCCACTTAGACAAGGTGTATGTGTGTTATGAATTTTGTCTTGTTCTTGTTGTTATTGTTGTTATTTTTCTAGGGTGTTTAGGTGAATGCGTGAATAATTCAGTTAAAATGCGCAAAAATGCTGCTATTTGTCTAAGCGGCTTACGAATGACAACAACCAGAAAGACAGACGGCAAGAACGCAAGTGCGACCTGCGAATGAATCTACGGATAGGCGGTGAAAGTGTACCACCAATGGTGCATTCTAACTCGGAAAGTCAACTCGTGAATTTTGAGTTCATATTTTCTATAAGAGTACTTATTAGGGTGGTTCTTAAAAACATCAGTCTCATGAATCACCCTTTTGTTTTGTGGTACCTACAAAAATTTGAAAATTAAAAAAATGGTTAGGGGTCGCTACCAGATTAAAAAACAAAATATTTTGTTTTTATGGCAAAAATTAAATAAAATATATAATTTGGCCAGCTATAACTCAGCGAGTGTATTAATTTATATGTATCAGTTTCCATAATACATACAGTCGGGAGTAAAAATGAGTACATGGTGAGTTTTGTTAAATATTTGCAAGGTTTTTAAAGCTGAAATTTTTTGCTATTTTTAATAAAAACATGGTTCATGCTTTAAGCGTATTGATCAAGCATTCAAACTTTGCGCAGAGCTAACAGAAATTCAACAAATTTTCATTAAAATTCTGAACCTTTTAATCTTCATTTTCAGAAAATGTTTGGCAAAGTTTTTACAGCTAAAGTTTTTGTCATTTTTTATAAAAATTTGGTTCATGCTTTAACCAAAACCATATTAGTCAGAGCTTGGAAAAATTCAACAAGTTTTCATTCAAATTTTTAACTTTTTAATCTAAATGTTTAGAAAATTTTTGGCTATGCAATTTGAAGCCCATTAAATTTTAGTGTAATAAAGTGCAAATTTTCAGCTGACGGCTTTTATGGTTTTTGTTTTTTTTTATATAACAAGTGCAATTATAAAAGATGGCGTTGATATTTTTCAGTTTTCTTTGCAAGAAATTCATGAAATTTATGTATATGGAGAAATGTGTAAAAAGCCGTCAGCAAAAAAACAAAAAAATACTGAAAGTCAACGCCATCTTTAGCCGCTTTAAACTTGCACTTTATTGTACTCAAATTTAATAGGCTATAACAATGTAAATTTTGCAAAAATTCGGATTAAAAAGTTTAAAATATTAATCAAAATTTGTTGAATTTTTCTAAATTCCATATAAAGCTTATTTATATGGTTTTCGTGGAAGCATGAGCCATATTTTTATAAAAAAATAAAAAATTTAGCTTCAAAAACCTTGCAAATATCAAAAAAAAAACAAACAAAAAATACCATGTACTCATTTTTGCTCCCCACTGCATATCTAATTTACTAGATTTCAAGTCAAAATTTTCTTGTTTTTGCGATTTAAAAAAAGGAATTTTGTAAAAATTTCAAATTTTCTGGATGCTCTATTTTGTACGTAGACCAAAATAAAGGGCTGCCCCAAGAAAAATGTTGATGTTATTTCAAGTACCACCCTAGTATACATACCTCTCACAGCTTATCTGCCCACCTACTCGCCGCGCGGGTCACTTGTTGTGTGACACTCGTGCAGCACACCTTTTGAACTTTGCTGCCTGACAAGTGCTTTTGCTATCTCGCTTAGCTTTTCGACAAACCTACTTACATAGAAGTATGTAAAATATGTAGTTAAAGATAGGTATGCTTTAGACACAGAATTCTTCATAAAGGATTTGGACGAATTAAAAAAAAAATCAATCTATATTTTAACGGAACACTATTCGATCAGCTATCCCTGCACTTAAATGAATATTTCGAAGACCAAAAACTGTCTGTCGATTTTATGAATAGAACTCATTCTCTGCTGCGCTGAGTTGGTGGGTATTTGGCAGATTTCATAGCATTGGCCGGAGCAGTAAAGGTCAAAAAGCAAAAATGAATGGAAAAATATTCACTGAATCTTATCAGTGGCTATAGAATAGTTAAAACGGGACCTTCGCCTTCGTACCGAGTAGACTTGAAAGCAAGACTTGACATGGCTTGGAAGGGTATTTGCAAAAAAATCCCATAAAAAGTACTCAGTCCCGCCTCTTTTATACATTATCATACGTTTTCCACGATTCAGACATCAAGGAAGTATTCCATGCTATAAAAAACACAACAATTTGTTGCTATTTTAATTTTAACATAATTTTTATTTTACGACCGGTGTTTTTTGTGACAGCTACGAATATACTTAATAAAAAATATAAGTACATACAAATTTTAAAACTCACATGCTTATAGGAACTAAAGTAATAGGCAATCAGCTATTAAAACCAAAGAAAGAGCGCTCTTCGTACAGATGTGCTTACATAGGTAGGGGGTCGGTCATACGATACGCCGCTACTTACATATGTACATATATGAAAATAATAGAAAAATTAGCAGCAAAATTTTTTCAGTTGTCATGTACCGGAACACGAGACGAAGTCAGTCCTCTCTGAGCACCCACCTAGTGTATATTTTAACGGCGTCTATTGCAAGCAATCATCCATTGTTTGAATCGCGTGCGCTCCTTATATACCAACAAGTCATACATACAATTCTATGTACAATACAGTAATCAATCTTATTCTTTCACCCGTACCACTTAATATCTATGGCCATATTTGAGTTGGCAATTTTTTTTTTTTTTTGTGAGCTCATCCTTCAGTTTTAGTATATACGTTTGCATGTACTAATACAAATTTGCAATAACTTAAAACGCCCGTTTAGCCAGTTTGTCTACCAGTCCGCCCGCCAGTCAGTGAGTGTGTGTGTAAGTATATGCGCCCACTGTTTTTACCTCTTCTTATCTATGCGCCTGCAATGCGAAATACTTTCAACTTCTTATCAAATGGCAGTAAATAAAAGTCAATAACAATAACAACTGCTAGTCTTGTTAAATAAATATAAACATCTATAAGTACGTATGTACATATATTTTTATTGCAATAACAAAAACCGTGTTGTTTTGCACGTTGTCATACATACTTACTGACTGATCGACTCGTTGGCTGTCTGGTTGACGTTTGTGCAAATGTAGTTGTATTGCTCCTTCCAATGATATATGATTCTTTTTATGTTTTTCCTGTTTTTGTTTTTGTTTTTATTTTTATTTCAATTTGTATTTGTTCGTTATTTTTAGCTTGTTGTTTGTATTTTGCACGCCAACGTCAGCCACTGCTGATAAGCGAAAAGAAAGTTCAATTACGAGCAAATACTTTAAATATTTTCAGTTGTTTTTTCTGCTTTCATTTCTTATTAAAGATTTGCATTACAATTTAGTTAGCGAGACCCGAAGCGATTTCTGTATTTTTTATTTTATTTTTTGATTTAAGCGTTCTTGTTTTTAACGAGAAAGGCGACATGTTGTTGTTTCTTTTGCTATGTTAAGCACAAATGTTGCTTGAAGAATCATTGAAATCGCTGCGGTCCGTACCTCAAACTGTTGAAACTATTAGATGACGGTGAAGAGGGGTGTTTTTTAATACGCATAGTACATTAAGGAACTTTAGGAAATTCGATGTTTGAGAAGGTATTTTAAACAAGGTGTGATTGACAACTCAGTGCGGTTCTCTTTTAAGGTACAATTGTGTTAAAAAATATTTAAAAAAAAATTCAAAATGCATACATTTTTTTTTCAATTTGACTTTATCGAATGGGTTTTATGAGAGCAATGTCAAATTCAATCACATTTTGTTAAATACTTTTTGATGTTCGATATGATACCAGTGACTAAGAAAGCACAGCGAAACCTTGATATAAGTTGCAGGGGTTGGACAGGGCATGTCCTTCGTATATACAACAACTTTTATTTTTTGAGTAGGGTTTCCATCTATTTAAAAATTACCATTTTATCCTAACATAGCATAGAGCAAAAGTCGAAATATTTTGACCACGCCAGTCTCAAATGTGTGGCCGCTGTGGTGTAGTGGTTGCCAGTGCGCGCTACCAGGGCCAGGGTTCAAGCCCGGTTCAGCCCAACATCAAAAAATAAAAAAAACAGCTTCTCATGAAAATACTATCGCCGTTCGGAATCGGCGTAAAACTGTA